GAAGAAAAAAAAAGTTAGAAAATTTACATATTTCAATGAGAAAACTAATAACTATAATAAAATTGATCATGTTGATTCACAACATTCAAAACTAATAATAGAGAAATAAGTGTATAAAATGTTGACAAAATATAAATTGTGGTACGTTGCGGTTTTGCGTGGTATTGAAAATACGATGCATCAATCAATAGATATAGTAATACATTATTGTAATTTAATTTGTTTATTAAATAGTGCTAAGGGGATAATTACACTTTTGGTCCCTCGTGTTTGGTCCGATTTCATTTTTGGTTCCCCTTATTCAAAAGTGAACAAAGTTCACCTCCAAATTTCAATTTTAAACACTTTTGGTCCCCGCCGTTATCTGTCCGTTAGCAAGTAACGGAAAACAATATTTTGGGATGAAAATTGAAATTTTAAATTGTTTTAGGGCTGAAAAATAATTATAAATTTAAAATAGCCTACTTATAATTATTTTTTAAAAAAATAAGTATAATGAAATTTATTTAGTTACTTTTTTTTTATTATTAGAAAAAATAATCATAAGTAGTATAATTAAAACTATATTAAGTATAATTCAAAATAATTTATTTAGTTAATTTCTTTTTTATTATTAAAAATAAAAGAATTGATAGGGTTGCTTCGGATTTTTTATTACTAACGAGGGCCCAAAACTTTTTATGATAGTGGAAAAATAAAATCTTTTTGCCAAAAAAAGTTATCATTAAAAGATTAATTATATGTGGTATAATTATAATAAAATGAACTATAATTACAAATAATTTTTTTAGTTAATTATTTTTTTTGTTGTTAATTTTTTTATCCTAAATAGTATAATTAAAAATAGTATTAAGTATGATTACAAATAATTTGTTTAGTTAATTTTTTTATTATTAAAAATCTAATTATAAGTTTTATAATTATAATAATATTAAGTATAATAAAAATAATTTGTTTGGTTACTATTTTTTTATTATTAAAAATTATACGTAGTCTATTTTAAATTTATAATTATTTTGCAGCCTCAAAAAAATTTAAAATTTCAATTTTTACCCTGAAATAGTGTTTTCCGTTGCTAACGGACATGTAATGGCAGAGACCAAAAGTATTTAAAATTGAAACTTGGAGGTAAACTTTGTTCACTTTAGAACAAGAGGGACTAAAAGTGTTAATCTATCTAGTGCTAAGATAAGTGAAAAGTGAAAAGCCAAAAAGAAGAAGAAAAAGCAATAGTGTTATTTCCCATTTATGGAGTGTGAGGAGTAGACGTATCATCCACTAAGAAAAAGATAGAAATAATTTCCAAGATTGGGATTTTGGAAATGGAACAAAATAAAATAAAGAAAATAAAAATATCAAATATGAATTGGAATTTTGTTCGACGATCAATCCACACAACACGTGGCATTAAAAAAAGGATAGCTCATTTCGGTATTTTGAAAAGTATGATCTCGTTAAATTAATACGATTTACGATTCAATTCATTTATCGATTATTTTCGAGTTTTAAACTTTTCGATTCAATTCATAAAGAATTAAGATATTTCATACCGTGTTGATTTGTACGTTTTTTTGGCAGTCTTTTAAATTTAAATGATTCCAATTATTAATCCTATTACTTTTTTTTTGGAGTAAATTAATCCTATTATTTATTATTTAGAAAAAAGTAATATAATTCCCATTCTTGAACGATTCGAAATGTAAAGGGTTAAGAGTAACTTTATCGACAAATTGAATATAAGTAGAATGAAAAAACCTATTTTATCGATTTCTTTTACATCACATTTCTGGACTTATATAAAAAAAAATAGTTGGGAACTAACAAAATTTTCTTAATTCAGCGAAATATTAAATTATCGAACTAATAATTTAATATATTTCTACCGACTTAAGACCACAAAAAATATTATTTAAGCGAGTTTAATAATTTATAGATATTCTATTATATGGAAATTAAGTGACTGCGAAAACGGAAACTCGAAAAAAGGCAAGAAAAAAGGGAACAGTTAGGAATAACAGAAAATGGAGAAATGGGGAAAGCAGGATCAACACTCAACGGTAAGAAATAACCAATGTTATCAGAACCGGACCGGACATTAAACCGGCGAGGCATTCGGGTCATGGTTGGACCGGTTCAACCGGGGTCAACCCGGGTTTTTTACTTTTTTATTTATTCTATTTATTTTTTAATTTTATATACACATAATTACATCCAAATAAAAATTTAAAACATTAAACAACATATACAAAACTTCACTTCAATCCAAAAAACTACCCATAATAATAATGTATCTCATCAAAATCATCCTCATCACATAATTAAAATTTAAAATATAAAACTAAAACATATAAACTAGTCAATTTACTTAAAAAGAACATAGTCACAAACATCCAAGAATATTTATTGAACATAAATTTTAAAATAAAATAAAATCATCTCATAATAATCACCCTCACTCATCAAGGTCATCATCGTCCTCATCTCCATCTCCATCTCTATCTCGATTTCCATCTCCATCTTCTATTTGATATTCATCCAGGTCATGCTCTCCAATATCTACATGCATACATAAAAAATGGCTTCAAGCCAATAAATTATGAACACTATTGTTTTAAATAACTAATTCAAATATAATTTTAAACTATTTCAGATCATCATCATCAAAACTAAGATACTCAAAAAATATTTCAATTAATTAATGAACGCAGATCAAATCATTAATGTCTTTTGCATTAAAATTATTTCTTGTACAATAGATATGGTATTAGAAAATAACATAATTTGATATATACGATATTAAATGGTGAAAAAACTACAAGTGTAAATAGAAATTTTAAATTCACATCTAAGCAAAATTTGTTTGAAGAATTGAAATCTAAACAAAATTATTATCACATGATTAAACAAAAGAATTTAAAAATTGCACGATTCATCTACACGAAAGAGGGTACCGGCAGGTTGTGGGGGCAGCGATGGCTGGCGGCGGCCGGCGATGGCTGGTGGTTTGCGGCGGCCGGCGGTGGCTGGTGGTTTGCGGCGGTGGCTGACGGCTGGAGGATTGGGCGGCGGCTGGGTGCGGGAAAGGCAGAATAGGTACAGACTTGTCAAACAAGTCTGTTCATGTTTAACGTATTGTTTAATTCAATTTTTTTTTTATCTTTTTAAACCTAATAATCAAAACGACGTCGTTTTGATAAAAATATTAAAAAAAAAAATAAATATAAAACGCAGCGTTTAGGAATCGAACCCGGGTCGGCGGCCGGTTCGCCGGGTCCCGGGTTCCACCCGGTCAGACCGGGTTTCTGGTAGTTGACCCCGGTTTTGAATTTATGTGGGTTTGGCGGTTAGACCGGACCGGTTTTCCGGCGGGTCGCGGTCGAACCGGTCGGACCGGCCGGTCCGGTCCGGTTCTAATAACATTGGAAATAACTAAGAAATAACACGTGTACACATTATATGAAAATCGTGGCGCCAAAAGGAATTTTTGTTTGGCATTTTGCTTCCAATTTTAGTACAAAATGCTGCCGAATAAATAATGTTATCCAGGAAAATTATACGAACTCGTTTGGTTGTCAAAATAAGATTAATCAAAATAAAATTAAGATAATTACAATTTTACCTAATCATGTGTTTCTTGATTTTGATTGATCACACAAAGTTATCGATAGGAGTTGAATTTATTTTTTGGGTAAATTACAACTACCCCTGAGGTATAGTAAAATTACTAAACCCCACCTCCTATTTGGGTAATTACAACAACCCACTTCAACTATAAATTTTCTTATACGTCTACTATTGTTGCGGTTTCAAATTTAGTAGAATCTTCTTGATTATATGAAATATTATCACTTTTGTACCCGTTTTATCACATTCGAGCTCCACATATTGAAGCAAGATGATCATAATATGTGTTTTTTTGGCCTGTATATATCAGATTGTGGTGTATCAGAAACTGTATTTTTACACAAAACGAGTACAAACTAGAGCGCATTCCACGAAATCTAGATGATTATGTTGAATTTGACACCATAAGGATGGATGTAAGAAGATTCATAATTAAGGGAGTAGATGTAATCATCCAAACAAGAGAGGGTTTTTTCATAATTTGACCATACCTCATGGATGGTTGTAATTTACACTTACTTTTGGTAAAAAAAAATAATAAAAAAAAACTAATTGACCACGAGCCGTACCGCGGTCATGTCTAATGTGATTTAAGCACCACGATCCCAAAAGCTTATAGAACAAAAAATGTTCTTATATAAAATAACATTAATTGTTGAGAATTCAAGAAAATTAAACCATGATAATTGGATAATGTTATAACCACACATTCACTTAGGCAAACAACGTTTTCATAATGAATGTATGAGAAGTACAAACTTTTGGTCGAGTAAGTGTAACAAGAAAGAAATGCATACTAAGATTAATTAATGATTACTTAAAAACAACATATCTCTAACCCACATATGACCTAGTTTTTTGAATGATTAGTACAAATAGATTGAAACAAAAATGATTATAGCATCAACCCTAATTTAGAATTAGTTCGGCTGGATTTAAAGAAAATGTACAAAATCGATAACCGTATTTGAAAACCGAGCTCGACTTATTTTTATTAGGAGCTAAAGCTCTAAACATCTCTCTCTTTTTTTATTTTTTTCTTTTTGGATATTTTAAAAAGTTCTGAATAATGTTATGGGTCGGTTGCAATAAGGCTTGTAACCCGATCCAAAACCATCTAGTGCTAGAAACTAAACCGAATATTACCCGACCCCATTTAACATACACAGACCTGCTCCAAACGAGTCGGTTCCCGATTTGAGACCCTACCATCCCTAGTTATGCAAAGTTGGACAAACACATTGGAAATCTTTTTTAATAACTAATTATTGTCAGAATTGTTTAATATTGTAGAAGTTCATTTCATAAAAGTTATGTAAAATATCTCCAACAACAATGTGTTCTAGATTTTGGCTTTCTTTTATCTTAAATTATAACAATAAACAAAAGGTTTTGATACATTTAGAAGTGAAATTAAAATTTACATTCTTGATGTCTTCTTTTATACACACTTTCAATGTCAAAATAATTGTACATTTTTTAGCAATTCCAAAAAAAAAAAAAAAACACAGTTCTTATTGTGAAGCACACTCAAACATGAACAATGAATTCAGCTAGCTAGCTAGCTTCACAGAGACCGGTGGCGGGATCGCAAAAACCATCTCGATCGAGGAGTTTCTGTGGCGGTGAACTTAGCAAAGGGGAAGAAGGCGATCCGTATGCATTTCTTCTGCTATTCCCACAACCTAGGCTTTTTCTCGTACTCACTCCCGTTATCGGATTTGTGCCGTTTGCGTACTTGCAAAGTGCCTGCATATAGGAAACTTAATCGACCAATATAATGTTTATTGCATTCTACACCCCTGTATTGTCTCTAATTGCTAAAAAGAAAAACTTATTTTCTCTAAGATTCAATCTTTTTAGGGGGGGTTGTCTGCTAAAAAAATAGGATAAATTATGGGCACCCCCTCAGATAAGATCAAATTACGATAAAACCCCTCATGCTTGGATATATACAACCACTTCCTCAAATATGTATTTTCTTACAAAAAAAGCCCTCCTCTAGTAGGTAAATTTAACACCGTAAGGGACGGTTGTAATTACCCAAACGGGAGGGAGTTTTTCGTAATTTGACATTACCTCAAGGGGGGACATAATTTGCCCAAAAAAAATAACATCATAAGGGAGTCTATGCTAAATGCAATATAAGTTGGTTCGATATTGGGTTTAAAATTTAAAAATTGAAATGCGTAAAGTTTTTTAAAGAAGCAATGATTAAAGTTTAACAAAATAAAACGATGATTCATTACAATTTTATTCATTCAGAATGTATAATTTCTTCATTGAATCGAATTGTTGACTGTATAAATTTGGTAAGTCCAATGCTTAAATGGGATTTAAACACACTATCAAGAAAACGAAAATAAAAATAAAAAAGCCAAGACGAAGGGAAATTTACCTGTTTCTGAAGAAGGTCTAAAACAGCATCGCTAAAATCGGCACCTTCAATTATAGCACCCCCGAGATCACTACGTGTCAACACCGATCTAACTAGCACCGCATTCGTCAGATTAGCTTCATTTAGAACCTTACACCGTGATAAAATAAATTAATTAATAAAATCGATTTAAAATAATAAAGAAACTTGTAATCAATGGACAAAAGAGACCACAAAAATTGACTAACTTACCATGCGGTCCATTAGAGTGTCGCTGAAATCCGCACCTGCGCAACAACACCATTTCGACAAATTATTATGTGGTAAATTATGGAGTTTGAGTTACGAAAAGAGTTTCAATTTTGGTTACTTGGGATCATTGTTTAAAAAAAATGTTCTCGAGAAAGGCGAGTCGAAAATTTACGTGTTTGATAATTAAACAGCGGGATTAACATTGATTAGAAAATCGATGATTTGGTTATCATATAGATGAGTTTTTACGCTCATTCGATCATTTACTCTAAAATGTGGAGTACAGTATAACCTCAATAAATTAATACTCGATAAATTAATAAGCTCGCTAAAATAATAATTTCTTCAGGTCCCGACTCGGTAAAAATGTATTAAATCATTATTTCGATAAGTTAATACCTGTGAAATTGGCTTTGTATGCAACAGCTTTCTCAAGATAAGCACCGTTGAAAGTCGAGCCGCTGAAATTCGATTCCCTCATATCGGCAGACGTGAAATTCGCTCTTCTGTAAATACAATTCTGCAGCATAAGATAAACTCCCCTTTATTTTATTTTAACTACTTATATATATACATACACTTAAAACTGTTATCATATACTAAAGTCGAAAACCCCATTCTCGTTTATTTTCCGTAATGTTCCATACATTCGAGGAAGATATTTTATTACCTGAAATTTTCATTCACATGAACTGCTTTCCTGCAAAATAAGAAAAAAAAACATTATTTAAACATTTTTTTCTTAATATGAAAATAAAAAAAATTAATTGGGAATAATACAGTTTTTGTCCCTCAAGTTTGCACTGATTTCACATTTAGTCCCCATATTCACAAAAAACACATTTGGTCCCTCATGATTCAGAAATTCAAGACTTTTAGTCATTTCCGTCAATTTCACATTAAAACCACAGAATCAAGCGTGTGCCCATCACTTCCTTAACTGACGGACTAACGGTAAATGAGGAAGTTACATTTTTTATCCCTCAAGTTTGCACCAATTTCACATTTGGTCCCCCATGTTCACAAAAAATACAATTGGTCCCTAATGTTAAAATAATTTAACACTTTTGGTCATTTCCGTCAATTTACTCTGTTAGTCCGTTAGTTAAGGCAGTGATGGGCACACGCTTGATTTCGTTAGGTTTAACATGAACTTGACAGAAATGACTGAAAGTGTTGAATTTTTGAAACATAAGGGACCAAATATGTTTTGAACATGGGGATCAAATGTGAAACTGATACAAACTTGAGGAATGAAAACTATATTTTTCCCAACAGTAAATAGACGGGAATGATCAAAAGTGTTAACTTATTCCAACACGAGGGACCAAATGTGTCTTTTTTTTAACATGAGGGATCAAATGTGAAATTGGTACAAACTCTAGGGACGAAAACTGCAATTTCCCCAAAATTAATTCGAAAAAAAAAACTGACTTGAGATCAGCAGAACCAAATTGAGCGGCGGATCCGATTCCGAATTCGCCTCTGGTTTCTGCTTCGAACTTGTTAAGCTCGGCCATGGCGGGTACGTTGACAGAGCTGAAGGCAATTACAGCTGCTGCTAGTGAAGTTGAAACAAGCTTTATCCACTTCTTGGATTCTGCTTCAATTTAATTAATCAATTTATCAAATGGGTTTGTCTTAAATGAATAATATTTATTACAGGGCGAGAGAAGAAGATTCATTCACCTGTTTGATTTCTGCTGTTGTGGGTTTCGAATTGGCAAGAAATGGACAAGGGTTTTGATTCTTTTGAAGGGGTGTGGAGAGATGAGGAAGAAATTCCGCCATTGATGGATTTCAAGGGTAGTAAGGAGATTGAAGAGAGGGCCATTTTTTATTTTTTTTTCAAGAACTAGGGTTTTTAATTTTCTTGATTTGGTTCTTGATTGAAGGATTTGTTGAAGATGGAGACAAAGCAGAGAGCAGAATGGAGGGAATGATTTTGGATAAGGGGTTTTTTTTTTTTTTTTTTTTTTTTTTTTTTTTTTATTCTACTGAAAGTTCAGAGCCACATCTTTAGGAAGAAGATAAATTGGTTTGCATGTACACATGTATGCCATTTATTTATTTTATTTGTTTTTTTCCTTATAATTTTGGGTAAATAGCACTTAACCCCGTGGTTACAAGCTTTTGCGGATTATTCCATTGTGCTTGCAATATCAGCACACAACCCCCCTTGATGTTGATGGGGTAGCTTCCGTTTTTCCGTCAAACTTAACCGCTTATGTCAAACATTAAAGTAAATTTTTTTTTTTCAGATGAACCCTTCTGCTTTCATTTTTGCAGATTTACCCCCTTGAAGTTTGACACACGCGGTTAAGTTTGACGAAAAAACTAACGAAAACTACTCCATAAACCACAAGGGGGTTATGTGCCGATATTACGAGCACAATGGAGTCATCTGCAAAATTTTGTAACCACTGGGGGTCAAGTGCTATTTACGCTATAATTTTTGGAGTATAAAGTTCATGGTACTTGTAGTTTTAGATCACCTACTTTTTTTTTTTGAAAAAAATAAATAAATAAAAATAAAAAGGTAATATCGGACCATATAGTCGAACATGTAATTTTGACCGACCCATATAGAAATGCGTCGCTCGATGGTTCTCAGTTTATAGTCGATTGGTCGGGTACTATCGATCAATCAACTTTTTAATAGTAATCATAATTCTGATATTTTTAATGTTAAAATAATATATAACAAAACTCATAACCCAAAATACACATTTATAAATATCTACCTAATATTTCTATTTTATAATTTTTATTTCATATTCTTCGTTATAAATTTACTTATTGTAGAAGTTAAAAAAAAAAAAAAAAAAAAAAAAACTCTTAATATAATTTTTAAAGATAAAGATTTTTGCAATAACATTTTTTTCAAAATTTTGAATATCTTCTGAAAATACTTTTATAAAAATCTTATTATTGTAAAAGAAAAAAGAATTAAAAAATCAATAAATAAATGACGGATAATACCAACCAACCAATCCATTGTTTGTCCAATAAAGTCGGTTGGCAACCATTGTCCGACCCATAATAATCGAGCCAATAATAATTTTAAATATGCAGCAAAATTAGTTGGTCGAATTGGATATATAATTGATAGATAATTGCCTGACTTGTTCCATAGCCAATCCTACATTTAATAATGAGTACATCAAGTACTCAAGTACCTAAGTTTACTATCAATTTTCATAAGTTTAATATTCTAATTTTTTTAGACTAATGAATAAATTTCCCTCATAAAAAGAAGAATAATGAATGACTCTAGTTTTCATAAGTTTACCGTAATTCCAATATGACCCTAGAAAATAAGAAGAATTTCCTAATTTTGGACTTAAATAGGTAGAGATCCTAGTTGCTAGATGAATATAGGTATAGGTCCTTTGACCCAATAAATTAATATAAATAAATTAAAATAATTAGTATATATACATAAATACCATCAATTAATAAGAAAACAAATCTTATATATCTTCTCTCTCCAATCTCACGTTAATCCCCTCTATATTTAATTCCTCATCTATTTCTTCTTCTGCATCTCCATTCTCACGCCTCTCTCTGTGTCTCGTGCTTCTTTTTTTTTTCTTTTTCTTTTTCTTTTTTTAATGAAAAAATATTCTAGAGAAGGAAAAAAACAAGGATCTTTTTAGATCATGATTTCTTGGTGAAATAATTAAAGAGGACAACAAACATCCCCTCCCAAAAAAAAAATCAGAAATCCAAAATCATAGCCAAAATTCACATTGTGTCTCCCGTACGTAGAACCTTTCCATCGTTTTTGTTGTTAGCAATTTCCGTTTCCAGGTTGGTTTAACTTCGTTTGTTGTTTGAAGAATTGCGTTTGATGTTGAGATTCGATTCCTCTGGTTTACAATTTGCAAGGTATGTCTTAAGTTATATTTTACAAACATTTTGTTTAATGTTTTTGTTGTTTGCAAATTGTTCAATAAACAATTTGTTGGTTAATGTTTTTAATGATGCTGGTTTTTTTTATTTTTTTTCAGTTTGTTGTTTGCATTTGACCAAGTCGTATGGGTAGTTTATTGCTTGCAATTCAATAATGCAAGTTTTGCTGAATATTTTTCTTCAGTTTGCTATTTGCATTTGGCGAAGTCATAGGTAATTTTTTGTTTGTAATTCAATAATACAAATTATGGATTTTGTTTTTTCAGTTTGCTGTTTGCATTTGGCGAAATCATAGGTACTTTGTTGTTTGCAATTCATTAATATAAAATCTAAATTTCCGTTTGCTATTTGCAGTTCGCGGAGTCATAGGCGTCGCAGTTCCCGGGTCATAGGCGGTGGTGGGGCTGCGGTGGCGTTTTTAGATTATGAGTTTTTAGAATAAATTGTGTATTTTTATTATGAATTAATTTATTTGTTTTAGTTAATATTTGAAAGAGATATGTTTGGGAATTTGTTTTGATAGAGAGATTTTTTGGGATTTGATTTGATTTAATTAAGGGTATTTTTGCCATAATAAATATTATTAATTTATTAAAATATTAAATTTTGACTTGGATTTATACACATAAATTATAATATGGAGGGAGTGAGGGACCTATAGCAAATTGCCCTTTTTTTTATAAGCATCCCAATCCTTTTTCCTTTTCTTTTTTTGTTACTAAAATATGTAAAATACATAGAAATTTCATAAATGGTAAACTGAACCAAGCGTGGTGGAAAATTTTGTGAGCTCAAGCCTGATTTCACGAGCCCAAACTCATCGAGCTTTTATTGTCTAAGTGCGCATCTTGTTTATGTTTGATAAAAGAAATTACATTAATATGATTATTTTTTATTATCATATAATAAAGTTTGTATTTTCCAATTTATTAGCTCTTTAGAAAAGTAGAGAAGTTCCAATCCAAAATTTAATTTGACGCTAACTATTATATAATAATTATAATTTAGTAGAGAAAAGTATATTTTATTTAGTCCAAGGAAAGTATATATATATATATATATATATATATATATATATATATATATATATATATATATATATATATATATATATCTTTAATATAGGTTAAGTTGATGCAAATTAAAAACCCAAAAAATAGTTTCCTAACTCCAAAAAACTATATGTAATGCACAATTAAATACTTTGTACACTTATTCACTAAAACTATAATTAAATCAAATAATTAAAAGCATTTCTAAGGATATGTTGACACAAATGCCACCATGCATCCATCAAGATCATCAACTAAAACAAAGATTTACAATACTCGAATTAAAATTACTAAAGTAATAAAAACTTACAAACAACCACCCCATACATGGGGTGGGGTGGGGTAGGGTAGGGGTGGGGTGGTACTAGAGGCCTAGTAATGGAATAAACTTCCAGCAGCCATACTAAGGTAAGAAAATAAAATAAAAATAAATAAATAAAAAACTATAATAATTAAAAGACCTATTTTCAAGGAATATTATTATTGCTAAATAATTAATTTGTATCATAAGAAGCATCTTCATCATCATCTTCTTGAGCCATTTTAACCAATGATTCCAGAAAATCTTGAACTTCAGAAGTATCCCTTAACGAGAACGAAGCATTGCTTTCTTTCGGTACGGTCGATACCAAGATTCCATAACCGCGATTCTTTTTCCTCAGCACCTACATTTTTTTTAAAAAAAAAATTGCGTTGTTATATCAGTTATTGATATTAGTAATTAAATTATAAATTTACGGGATTTATGTTTAATCAATGTGTTACCTTGAATGCATCCTCGTCGGTCCTGTCGTCTCCGATATAAATCGGGAGCACATCGCTACGGTTGCTAAATCCTGTACCACGCAATTTTTATTTTTTTGTTGTTTTTAATTTTCAATTGATACATGAATTTTGGAGTAATAAATAAATACTTACCTAGAGATTCAAGAAGAAATTCGACAGCTTTTCCTTTATCCCAGTCGATCACCGGACGCACCTCCAAAACCTAATTTATTTTATTATTTACGCATAAAGACATTATTAGAAACAATGATGGTAACAATTATAATCACCCCCAAGGGTATCGTCGTAAATTTACCTTCCGTCCATGAGTAAGTCGAAGTCGAGGATAGCCTTTCAGAATATCATGAACATTTTGAGCAATTACAGGCCAACTCTGGAATTTTGAATAATCAGAACTAAATCAAATAAATAAGAACAATTTTCAGACATTTAAAAAAAATTAAGGGAAAAAAACGAACTCACATTCTCGTCGACATTGCGATAGTGCACAGAGACACAAAATTTATGGTCTTCCACTTTTGCCCCTTTTATATCTTTCGTAATCTCGACGAGGTTTCTAAAAACCTGCAAAAATCGACAATAAATTAATTAGGACCACAATTATTCATTAAACATCCCCGTTTTCTTAATAATTCGTACAAATATCACACAAACCTCGTTGATCATGGGTATAAATTCACTAGCCGGCTGGAATAAATTTGCTTCCTTGCCCTGTAATAAAAGATCAAATTAACATAAAACGAATCGAGACAAAAATTAATAAAGACAAAACGAAAAAAATCGATACCTTGTTGTCAGTAGACTTAACACATTTAACATGTTTTTCCGGAACCAAATCTTTGGCCGGGAATACAATGTCCATCCCATGACTACCGGCATAGTACAGCTCCGTTAGGCCCACCAATTCGTAAACCTAAAAAAAAATCGAAATAAAGCGATTAAATTATAATTATTAAATAGTAGAAAATAAATAAATAATATAGCGATTATATATCGAATTTGTGTGTCCACCTTATTGCGGCTTCTCCCACTGATGATAGCGGTCGGAAAGTATTTTGCGACATTCCTTAAAGCAGACCGCATCTACAAAAAAAATGCCGTTACATTTAATTACACAGATAAAAAAGTAAAAAATTAAAAAGATTGTGAAAGTGACAATAAATTAAATGCCTGAATAATTAATTTATTACATCATCGGACATAAAAGCTCGATCGGGATCATCTACAATGGGGGAAAGTGTGCCGTCGTAATCCAAGAAAATCACTAATTTCTTATTCATCTCACGCCCCGTTATTGTCTGAAACGAGTTCAACGCAGATGGATACCTAATCTGCAAAAATAATTAAAAAAAAAAATTTAAATAAGAAACAAATTATATCGAATAAAATAAAAAAAATCAATTTCACATTCGAAAATTTAATTTTACCATCCAAAACTGGTAGGCGATTTCAGCTTCATCAGAGACGAGATCTACACCGTTGAAATCCTTGTTGACTTTCTTGCGAGGAGGTGAAGATGATTGCATGGCGTCCAACCAGCCGTTGGATCGAACATCGTCAAGTTTTCCAGGTTTCTTTCTTGTTACGGTGGGGACACTTGTAGTGAATGACGGCCCCGATTGTGAGCATGGCAAGAGATTTGAACGGATCCCGAGACGGGATTTGTTCATCGGTGATGGATCGGCCAGAATCGAAGAAGCTTTTGTCGATTTCACGTCCATTTTTTTTTTTTTGCTTTATGTTTTTTAATCAACCAAATATTATTTAAAATGAGCAAAAAGTAATTTACGAAAAAACCAAAAATTTCTTCAACGTCTTTTCTTCGCTACTAATTTGCAAACAGTCCATTTAAGATGATCTGGAAAATCAAATAAAGGAATAATTAACATGCAAATCCGATAAACGATTTTTTCTTTAATTTAGAAACAATAATTAATTTCTGAAATTCGTAATATTATATATACCTCATCGCTAAATATATATTAAGGCCATCTCGACTGCCTTTTTCACCTGAAATAAGAAAACGAAAATTGAATCAACAGGCAATTAGCATATAATTAGTGACCGAGCATAAAGTATAAACATGCATACATAAATAAAGCACACATGAAATGTAATAAACACAAAATTCATCGAATATTTTGATTAAAAAAAGTAAATAAAAAAACGATCTTACAAATTACAAGAGAAGCTTTGTTGAGAAGTATATTAGTGTGTGGTTTATGTGCTACGCTTGTGTGCCTTTTATAGAAGAAAAAACGGATGCTCTAAGCAATGACGCGATCAACGAAATCTGATTTCAATTTTCATATTACGAGAAAAATACAAAATTTGCCGATGGAAAAAGTTGGTGTCGAGTTATGGATTCTTGCGCGAAAGTTAGTGAAGTGAGAATAAAATAATGGCTATGTATCACACCTAACGCAACGTAAGCACAATATTCCCGGTGTAACGCTCGTGTGGAAATAAATAATAAATAAAGAAATTACACAATCCGATTACTGAAATCTCGTTCGAGAAATTTTATTCGAGCAATCTCGTTTGAGCTCGATTTGTTAACATAACAAATCAAGCTTGAACACAAACTTTTTTCGATCAATTAGATATGATCGAGATTTGATTACTAAAAAAAGATTAAATATGTCTAGATACGCGAGTTCAATTCCCTTTTGACTCGAGTAAAGCTCATTCGAGTTCGAATTGACTAATAATCTGATCAAGCTAGAAAGAAAATGGAAACTCGATAAATACTCAAAGAAGGTTTGAGTAGTAACGGGTTCAACTCGACTCGATTCATTTACACACGTAGATACAAAACGTGAAGGAATAGAATACTCTAAGTGGATGCAGTTACTTCTTGGCATTTTCTTCCATAAAATGAGACCTTTGAGCAGATTTAATTATAACTTATGTCGGAATGCGCAAAAAAAAAATAAAAAATAAAAAAGGAAAAATGATAAAGAAAACTCGAAAGAATGAGGGGGAAAAAAAAAGCATCGAAAGCATCTTGGTTTTCACGTCATTTCCTCGTTTCTCAAGCAAACCAAAACAAATGATTTTTTTAAAATATTAGACAAATAAAAAAAATAGTAATAATTAGTAATCGGCTGCGAAAAACGTGAAATTTCGAGTACCAAACAAGAATCAGATAAGTTTTAGTATGGAACGAAAAATATATCTTAGATCCATCGAATTAATGAGGTTAATAAAGAAAATAAAATCCACGGGGACCGAAATCTTTTACAATCAGATCTGAGTGTGCCTACGGATTCGAATCGATGTTGTACCATGTGCAAATTCGACTTGTATATCCACTTTCCTATTTGCCATACAATATATATACAAACACGCACGTGTACAAAAAATGCACGTTCGAGAAGACCGTGTACTAACAAATATATATATGCATGCACACTAAGAATTAAACCTAGTAACTATAAGCAATATTTTCAACCCCAATAAAAATTTACTACTTTCGACCGATCTAAAAAAGAAAAACGGGAATTAAGTCAAGTTATTTAAACCAAATTACAATAAATTAAAACCAGCAGAATTCAGACAAGTTATTCGATCTTCTTATTGTAAGGAACATGACTCAGCAACTACCTAAAATATATATTAAAATGTAATAAGTAAATATTTTAAAAATCACATGGGAAGCCTCCTCAGCCATCTTATTAAAGACTTATATATTGTCACAGAATATTAATTTCTGGTGATGGTCCTAACTTCTAAATTTATTCATAAACTAATGAATCAATTAAAAATCATATACTAAAGAAATTTAAATAAATGCATCACCTAATAAGCACTGCTTGTAAGGTGGATCGTCGCACACGATCTTCAAATATTAATCGACATCATAAAAAAAGTAACCGAAATAAACTTAATGCATGTAAATAACTGTTACTACATATAACATCGTAAAACTTCGAATCGACCCGAAATCCTCAAATTTAACGTAAAAGAATCGACCTAATCACTAAAAACACGAAAATATCCTTTCGAAGTATCCCTTTTCAAAATGCTAAGCAATCGAAAAAAATCGGTATATTAATGATTTTTGCACATTAAAAAGGTGAAATAGTAGTTAAAATTGTCTCTCATGCAATTGGCCCCCACGGAACCCCCAAACGGCGTTTGACTTAAAACAGTTAAAAAAAGAACACAGATACGGTTGTGTGTGTGTGTGTGGATGGAGTTGATAATATAAACAGAAGTGATTATAAAAATAAAAAAACAATTTAAGAAAGAATTGATGTAAGTATATACTGCAATATTTCCATGGTGGTGTTGGTAGTAAATAATAATAAACCAACTGATTAAGACACAAAACCAACATTTCTAACATCAACCGACAAAACAAAAGCACTCTAGATTATGATTCAGTCAAATCAAGAAATCTACCAAACTAAACACACACACACACACACACACACACACACACACACACACACACACATGACAGCTAATCAGAAGAAAATAATAATAATTATGAAAAAAAAAAAAAAAAAAAAAAAAAAAATCGTAATTCTGATGAGAAACCCAGAAAGGAAGAGCGAAAAAGACTCGATTTTTAACACAAAATCACAATCATAAGGAACAATATATTCATGGGCAGCAAGAAAATTAAACAGATCCTAAAGTAAAATTAAAAAATATATATGTATATGAATAAAGATTGGATTTGTAATTTTTTTTCTATTTAATTCCTAATTAATTCCATGAGCATTGCCAGATTAGATACATACCTGATGATATTTGAAGAATTCTGAACAAATGCAATGGCGAAGGATTCAATTGGTAATGATAATAGCCTGAAATGATTTACATCACAAAAAATAATGAATAATGAAAATGAGAATGGGAATTAATTCCAAGAAATTAAAAATAAAAATAAAAAAAAAAAAAAAAAAAAGAAAGAAGGAAAATCTACCTCAAAACGAACAACGGCAGGTTTAGGAGAAACCCTAGAAACAGGAATAATTATAGCAACAGAAAACTGAAAAAAAGGGAGAGAGAGAAAGAGGAGAGAGAGAGAGAGAGAGAGAGAGAGAGAGGAAAAAAAGAAAACAGAAGGTGAAAAGGCAATATGTATTTATAGAGTTTTGATTGAGCCAAAAAAAGAAAAAAAGACGTGCCAAACAAGGCAAGCTCTCCTCCGTTCGTTGAATATATTATTTTTTTATTTATATTTTATATATATATATAATTTTTTGGGTATATATTTAAGAACAATTTGTTGTACTAGAAATTAATAATAAATCATGAAGTACAATCAACTATGAATAACCATATGTTTATTTAATTTAAAATTATTAATTGTAGCTATCAAAAGAGGTATGCGTTTTTGGTTCTTGCAGCATTGGTCAAGTAACTGTTTTTTTTTTCTTTTCTGAAAAAAGAAACCAAGTGAGGAGGGGTTGTTGAAGAAGAAGAACAATTATTAAATGTTTGAAATCATTTCTATTTTGTTTTCATTGTTTCCCCAAAACAAAATGGGATTTATTACAATTTTCAAATCATTTTCTCAAAACAATTTTAAAAGTTTCTCTCTCCTTCATACATGATGTCTTCACTAAAAAACAAATAAATATCACTACATCTTTCAATTTTTTTCTTAAAAAATACATTTTTCTAACACATTTAAACATGATTTGACTGCTAGAGTGTATTTTGTCTCCTTCCAAAATACAAACAAACATTACTTATATTCTCAAATTATTCCCCCAAAATATATTTCATCAAAATGAAATCAAAATAAGATCCAAAACGCTTCCAAACATTGCTACTATTTTGCAATTTAGGCCTCGTTTGCTTGGGAAGATTAACTATTATTAACTGAATAATTTGATTTTGTATGATGTTTGGGTACCCCAATAACTTGGTCGGTTTTAACCTGCAAATATTATGTTTTCATGGTT